TGGATATTTTATCTTTTTGTTCTTTCAAGTACTGACATGGGAAGATTAAAATTTTTAACTGAAAATGGGATCTCCCTCCCTCCCTCCTTCCCTCCCACTTCTGTTAGTGTTTGCTTCATGAATTGTCAAGGTTATTTATTAAAGATATACACATTTAGAATTGTTAGGCCTTCCTGATGAATTACCTATTTTGTCCAAATTACCCTCCTTGTTTCTTTATTACTTATATTTCAAAGCCAACTTATTCTTGCTGTTTTCATGGTATATTTTCTTCCATCCTTTTATTTTTTGGCCTTTCTAGTTTTAAAGTTAAACTGTATAAACTTGGAGCCAGGTGTGGTGATCCTGAAATCCTAGCTGTAGGGAGTCTGAAGCTGGAAGACAACAAGTTGGGGGCACAGCCTGGACACCTTAACTGAGTGAGATGCTGTCCCAATATAAAAATGTGAAGAGAAGAGTTGGGAAGTAGCTTARTAGAACAGCACTTGCCTAGCATATCGAAGGTGCTGGGTTCAATCTCTAATAATATGAAAGGGGGAAAAATTTAGGACTTTTTTTTTTTAAATGTTGATAGTTTCTGTTTTTTAATTGTATTGTTTACTCCATTCATTTATGCACATATATAGACTGTTTAAAATTGTCTTGAGCCCCCCAAGTCTGCTTACTTCCATATATTTAGTTTGTCTTTGTTCTTCAGATTGCTTTGTGCTCAAGWTCACTGATATCCAGTCTGTTTGATGGTTATGCCCTTCTGGTGAATATTTCATTTCAGTTATTGTAGTTTTCATGTAGAAAATTTCAAGTTGTTTTTTTTAATAGTCCTTTATTTCTTTAACAAATTTTTCTTTATTTCTTTGAGCATTTTCTTTTTTTTGAAGAGTATTGGTTTTCATCCTAGTATTCATTTACTTGCTGATTACCCTTAACTTGTGCAGGCTTAGTTTTATACTTTATAAAACTAGATGTGTAGAAAGATGATGGTATTTACCAAGTTCTTTTAACTCAGTAGGACTGAGCCTCCAAATTGTATCTTTTTAAAATTTTTTTTAATATTTATGTTTTAGTTGTAGTTGGACACAAAGGTACTGTACCTTTATTTTTTTAATTTATTTTTTAACGTGATGCTGAGGATCAAACCCAGGGCCTTACATGTGCTAGGCTAGTGTTCTACTGCTGAGCCACAACCACAGCCCCCCCCCCCCAAATTGTATATTTTTGATCTTCAGAAGTTTACAATTAGCCTTTTTAGGTAGTGCTAGAGTAGGCCCTACTTAAGAGCATTGTTCTTTCTTTAGCTGTGTCACCTAGATGCCCAGGTAATTACCAGGGTTTCTTCAATTTTGTTTGACTGGAAATCCAGTGTTTTTCCAGTGTTGCTTAACTTGCAGTGTTTCTATTCTGCTGTCAACCCCATAGCAGTTGGGGTATCCTCTGGGATACTTTGTCTCTCTAGGTAGCTGATCCTTTCTAGGGATCTGATCTCCCTCTTTTACAGCTCTTAACTTTACTTTATTTCCTCCCTGGCATAATCCAGATTCCTCATTTGTTCTGAACTCTCTGCTTCCTTGACTCAGCAGGATTGCTGTGCTTTGCTGTTCGCTGGTTGGGATATTTCAAGTAGTTTCTGGGACATTATAGGGTGGTTGACTTGTCGATATTCTCTTCTCTTAGGGACCAAAGTCTGTGCTGTTTATTTTACAAAGCCTGGAAACTGTTGTTTCATATTTCATGTTTGATGGTTGTTTACAATGAAAGAGMTCACTAGTACCAGTCATTCCATCACAGCCAGAAATGCATGACTCTGGGTGATAAATAGTGGTGTATAGTGTGACTTGCTAGGATTATCTGTGTTTTTCATTAGTGATTTGTTATTTCCAAGTAACAAAATTTCTTATCTGTTCTTAGAGGGAAAACTTTATCTATTAAACATAATTTAACTATTATCTATTAAACTGGATTTATTAAACAATGATTCTCTAAAATTTTATTCATTTTATGTAGCATTTGATCTGTAAGTAAAATKGTTCTTCCTTGTCTCCTCTAGGGAAGAGAAGTGTTCCATTTATTTTTATCAATAATGTTGATTCTAGATGTGAATAGTGTTTGACAAGCAGTAAATAGAAACATTACATATTAAATCTTTATTTAAACTGGAAATTTAGTCCTACCTGTCACATCAAGTTACTAATTAATTCACCAAATATTTAGTGAGTGTCTTTTATTGCTGATGCTGACACTGAACTTGGCACTGAGGAGACATTGAAGAACAAAACATTATGAAATAATCCCTGCCCTTGGTGAGTTGACATTGTCATATGGTAGATAGGGAATAAGTACAAAGAAACAAATTATAATTTTGGATATACTAGGAAGAAAACAAATGGAGTTCTGAAGTAGAGAACACTGAGCTCCTACTTTGGGTTTTGTGGTCAGAAAACCATTTGAGGAGTTCTGTTTCAACAAGGTGATTAAGGAGCTAGTATACTTGGGAGAGAGGTGGAGGCCAGGACTGATGGGTTTTCTAATGCTTTCTATAGTACATGTAAAGATCCTGAGAGAAAGTTTGTTATATTGCAGGAGTTGAAAGAAGGTGTATGAAATAGCAACAAGATGAAAATAGCAAGATGTAAATTGGGAAGTTGGGCATAAGTAGATCATTTAGGACCCTGAAGACTATGGTCAGAGGCTTAATTTCTTCCTAGCTTCCCCCCCAACCAAAAAAAAAGTAGGGTGATCAAAAACTGGCATACTTCTGAGGGAAAAGGAGCACAAAGTGATTGGAATACTGTGTTGGCAGATGTAATCTGGCCATGTTTGGGGGAAATCATCCTAAACTGGGCTTACATATGTAGAAATAGCATATAGAYTCTTAATGCTTCATTCTTCATGCCATCAGGCAAGTTAACTTCTCTGTGCCTTATATTTGTCACTTGAAACAGGGGAATATTACCTCATTGGGTCTATTAAGATGAAATAAGAAAATACATGTTTCAGAATATGTAGTGAGCTGGTCATGGTGTCACATATCCTTGTAATTAATTCTACCTACTTGAGGATGAGGCAAGAGGATTGCAAGTTCAGGGTCAGCCTGGGCATTTAGTAAGTCCCTATCAGAAAATAAAATTTTAAAAAGGAAGGGTATGTACTTCATTGTTAGAGTGCTTGTCTAGCATGTGTGAATCCCTGAATTCAACCCCGAATTCAATCTTCAGAACTGCCCGAAAAAGAAAAACCACGGTGCCTGCCACCTACTAAGTACTCAATAAATTCCTTCTTTCAGAAAATATTTATTAAAAGGTTGTTATGTGCCAGGCATTAACTAGGCATGGGGGATTAAACAGTGAAAAAACATAAAAGCCCTTGCTTTCATTGGGTTAAATTATTTTGCTGTGAGATAGGTGCAAATAATAATAATTATTATTATTATTATTATTATTATTTTAAGAAAAGGATGTAAGATGATTAATAAGTGCAACGGAGCAAAAGCAAGGGAGAATGAAATAGGAAGCAGTGCTGGCAGCAGAGGGAAACAGCAAGTTGAAAGTTTCAGAAGCTCCATCAGATCATGTGTTTCTGAGAGGGCAGCATTTGAACGGGGATTTGAGGGAAGTAAGGAACTGAGTGTGACTAGAGGATGGTTGCAGGCAGAAGGAATAGCACATGGAAAGATGACAGGGAAAGCCTCTTAGGGGGTTTTAAGCAGAGGAGGGTTCAGAAGAGGTTTATGTTTCAGAGGGATCATTAGGTTGTAGGTTTGAGTGACAGCAGGGAACCTAGCTGAGACTTGTTGATAAGTGAAATAAAAGATGTTGGGCCAGGGTTGTAGCAATGGAAGTCATTAGTAGATTCTGAAACTAGTGGATGGTTGGATTTTGAAACAATTTGAGGTAGAATTGAAATGATTGACTGATAGAATTTTTTAGTCCAAGCTAAAAGATGGAAGCTGCCATTTATCAAAATTGGGGGGTTGGGAGGTATTATGGGAGGAATACATTCAAAGGTGAAGTTTGAGATTTTCAGTTTTGGATGTCCTGTTAGACACTGAGTTATAACTGCTAGCAATTATTTATCATTAATTTTCCAATAAAGGTTAACTATTATAATCTTTACTAAGTATTTGTTGACTCTGTAATAGATAATTTGCTCTCTACTACAGTGGCAAGGAAGTTTGGGGAATTAAAAGAGCAGTCCAAAGTAGAGACCATTCTTGCCCTTGTGGAACTTAAAGTTTAATAGGGAAGATAGAAATTGATCTAATAACCATATTTTAACCTTTTAAATAGGGTACCTAGAAAGAAATAAGGATGGATTAATAAAATCACAGCTATTCTTAGATATCTAAATCTATTAGATTCACTTAAGTTCTGATAGTGAAGGATGTACACATGGATGTTTCAAATACAAATAAATGTTTTCCCCAGTGACTTATCTTGGATGTTTTTATTTAACAATATCTTATTCTTGAAATTGGCTGATTGCTGGGCACAGTGGCTCATGCCTATAATCCCAGAGGCTTGAGAGGCTGAGGCAGGAAGATCACAAGTTCAAAGCCAGCCTCAGTAATGGCAAGGCACTAAGCAACTCAGTGAGACCCTGTCTCTAAATAAAATACAGAAAAAAAATAGGGCTGAGGATGTGGCTCAGTGCTTAAGTGCCCCTAAGTTCAATCCCGGTAACCCTTCCTCCCCCACCAAAAATTGACTGATTAACACAAGAGAATTAAAGTTCATGAATTTAGCTTTATTTAGAAGAAGTGAGATACTGGYATATTGAACTCAATGTTGAAAATTATCTGTTTCATGAAATATTTAGGCTGTTGTAAATTTTCTCCTTTATGTTGAATATGCTTTTACTTTTTAATAGTTAAGGATCCAAAAAAAAAGAAAAAGTTAAGGATCAATTTATTTTGCAGCAGAAGTCACTAACAGTAGGATTATAGTATAATCTATTTACTCTCCTCATAAAATTATTTATAATTTTTATGATTAAAAATTCCACAGGTTCGTCATAAGGCATCACAGAAGGTTTATGCTATGAAGCTTCTTAGCAAGTTTGAAATGATAAAAAGATCGGATTCTGCTTTCTTCTGGGAAGAAAGAGATATTATGGCCTTTGCCAATAGTCCCTGGGTGGTTCAGGTAAGCATACTAACTTTTTACAGTTTATTTTATTTTTTTAAGTGCTATTATTCATAAGAGTTCATGTGCTGAAAGTCCTTGGTCTCACTTACATAGTAATAATGCAGTTGTTTTCAGTGAGTCAATATGCTTGTTTAATGTTCCTGAACAGTATCTGTATAGACACATGTAATAATCACTTAAAATTGATGAATGAATGGAAGTATTACTTGCAACTTTTTCCTTTTTAACTCTCTTCTGTAAAGAATTTAGCTTGATCATCAACATGTCATTACTCCTGCCTACCTTTTCTTGTGGTTTACATCATAGAAATATAGTAAATTCATTGAATCATTTGGAAGGATATATACATATTAATATCATTTAGAAATTGTTATTACATTAATTAGCCTATCTCAGGAAAAAAATTACTTAAACAATTAGAAATTCTCCTACAGTCCTTTGTATATTGCCTATAATTTAAGATAGTATTAGCACTCCTGATTCTGCATCTTATTTGAACATGGGTTAAGARATTTTTGGTTCTGTTTTGCACCAGTTTTACTTCTCTTAAAGATTGTAATACATATCTAAATCCACACACATTTTTGAACAAGTGCCATGAGTAAGATTAGGCACATGYCACTGCATGTTCAGAAAATTCAAATGATCTTGGGAGTTTGATACCTTGCTTGTGGAAGGCACTGTGAGGTTTAAAAAAAAAAATGCCATATTAGTGACTTTGTCTTTTTATTTTTATTTTTTTATGGTACTGGGGATTAAGCCCAGGGATGCTGAGCTATATCTCCAGTCCTTTCTATATTTTATTTTGAGACAAGGTCTTACTAAGTTGCATAGGGCCTCACTAAGTTGCTGAGGCTTGGCTTTGAACCTGTRGTCCTCCTACTTCAGCCTTCTGAGTTCCTGGGATTTCAGGTGTGTGCGACCTCACCTGGCTTGTGACTATGGCATTTGAAACCTCATTACTCTTGTTTTTTTGTTTTTAATATTTAGTCTTAATCTCCCCCTCCTCTTTATTTTGTTGATTATATGTAGCCAGTTATTAGAAATTCTAGTATGTGCAGCTAAAACTAAAAATTTTGTTTCAAATTATGTATCACAATAATTTACTTGACTAAAGAATGAGTATAAAATATTATTTGTTCCATGTTTAGCTTTAAATTGCTTTTATAGTCATATATTCATTGCTATTTCCAGATATTATTTCATATATTGCTATCTTTTGATCTTTAATTCTGTTAGGTGGATCCTTATGAAGTGTAATTGAGAAAGAAAGGATCTCTCAATAGTTGAAAGAATCTGCAAAAGCAAATCAACAGTAAAAACATAGTACAATTGAAAAAGTAATTCAGATTATGACTGTGGTATTCATGTGTTTCTCTCTCTTTTTAACTAATATGCCATGCAACATTATACTTACATGTATGAAACGTTTTAATTTGGGGGGAAACTTGCCAAAGGGAYTGACCTATTTTTATTTATTAATTTCATTACTCACATTTTCAAAAATATATTCACAGAGTTGTTTAATCACTACCACTGCCTAATTCTAGAATGTTGTTGTTATCCTCAAAGGAAACTCTGAATCATTTGGCAGTTATTTCTCAAATCTCTCTGACCCAGCCCTTGTCAACTACTAATGTCTCTATGGATTTACCTTTTCTGGATATTTCATATTTGCTAGTTAACTTTCCATTGCTGTGACAAATACCTGAGAGAATTAACTTAAAAGGAGGAAAATTTTAATGCATCAAAGGTTTCAATCCATGGTCACTTGACTGTTTTTTTCTGGGCTTGTGATAAGGCAGAACATCATGATTGGGAGTGTGTTGTGGGGCAGAGCTGCTCACTTTATGGCAACCAGGAAGCAGAGACAGAAAGAGAATGGGTCTGGGGACCCTTAAGTAGGTCCCTACTGATTTATTTCCTTTAACTAGGCCCGTCTTCTTAAAAGTTCCTACTTCCTCYTGCCAGATAGCCCACTAAGCTATTTATCATTAGTGGATTAATGCATTGATGATATCAGAGCCCTCATGATCCAAGTACCTATCTGAAGCCCCTCCTTTAAACAGTGCTGCATTGGGGATCAAGCCTTCAACACATGAGCCTTTGGGGGACATTTGAGACCCAAACCATGACATTACATAAATGGGATCATATGATATGGTATTTGTGACATCTTTAAACATTCATTCATATTATAACATATATTAGCACTTCGTTCCTTTCTGGCTGAGTTGTGTACTGTTGTCTGGTTATACCACATTTTCTTCATTCATCACTTAATGGACATTGGAATTATTTTTATTTTGGGTTTTTTTTTTTTTTGGACTGTTTTGAATAATGCTGCTAAGAATTTTCTTTCATGTGGCTTTTGGTGACTAAGTTCACACATTCCTTTTAGGTGATCTACCTTGCAGAGAAATTGATGGATCAGAGAGTGTACATATAATCAGTTTCAATGGATTATTTCAAATAGCTTTCCAAATCTCAGCTCTTAYTTTTTAATGACTATTCAGTATTTAATTGTACAAATGGTCCCATGATTTGTTGGTGTACTATGTTTGCTGAAAGTAACTCTTTTCATTTTTCTTACATAAATTATGCTGCCATATAACTCTTTGGTCCATCTATATTTCTTACATATATGTTTTTAGTGTGATTTTTAAAAATTCAACAGATGTATATTGGCACATTTAAAAATCTTATTCTTTTGCTGATAGAGAGTACTTTTTATTCTTTAAACTGTKTATCTAGTTTGTTCTGTTTTTCTAAGGATACTAGTATTTTTCTAGTGTCCTTATTTTGTCGTAACTCTTTTTATGGTAAGCTCTTCCTTGCTTTCTTTTCCAGTTTTATCCCCCAAATGTGTACTCTATGTACAATATTTTAGTTTTTGTCTTTTTTTTTTTTTTTTTTTGTAGTGCCGGGGGAAATAAAATCTAGGATCTCAGACATGTAAGGCAAGCACTCTACTACTGAGCTAAATTCCCACCCAGTTTTTGGTATTTAAAAAACTTTTTTTTAATTGGTTGTTCAAAACATTACACAGCTCTTGACATATCATATTTCATACATTTGATTCAAGTGGTTTATGAACTCCCATTTTTACCCCGTATACAGGTTGCAGAATCACATCAGTTACACTTCCACGTTTTTACATATTGCCATACTAGTGACTGTTGTATTCTGCTATCTTTCCTATCCTCTACTATCCCCCCCTCCCCTCCTCTCCCATCTTCTCTCTCTACCCCGTCTAGTGTAATTCATTTCTCTCCCTTGATTTTTTTTTCCCTTTAAAAAACTTTTTAAATTTAGGTATATCTTTTACCTTTTGTCTCTCAAGCTATAGTATTCCTGTTCTTTGATAGTTTTTTTGTCCCCAGGTTGAAAACCTGGATTTTGATAATTTTGTCCTTGTGATATAGTTCAACATGCTTCTCTCTCATTTGCATTTTTGTAAATTGATAGAGTAAAGGGTTTGATTGGATTCAGATTTTATTTTTAGGAGGCTATTTCATAGGCAGTATTTTTCTTCTTTCAGGAGGCCAATGTCTGATTATCCTGTGTTATCATAACTATTTTTGATCAGTGTCTTGACCTTTTAAGGATTGTAAAATGGTGATGTTTCAATTTCATCATTCCTCCTTAATTGTAGTGACTGGAATGTTTCTATAAAGAAAGATATTCCCCCATTTACTAGTTGGTTACTCCATGATATAATTCACATTGGAAGGACAAAAACTTTATTATTTCCCTATATTTACCAGTTTCCAAAAAGGAAGGACATAGTTTTCTTTTTATCTCTTAAGGGTGACCAGTTTCGGGGGGGGGAGGGTGGAATCAGTTTGAATGCATGGACCTAAAAAATGTAGTTAATATATTTTAGTCCTCTGAACACCTTGTTTAAGCTTATGTTATGACACCTTTGGCCAGTGTAATCATATTTAAATTGGTTCCTGAGACCTTTTGACAGAGCCTTAGGTGTTTTTAATAGTTTGCTTTTCTGTCTGGTGAAACAGGGTGTTCCAGACTTATGAATTCTGCCCATGATATGGAATTAGCTATGCTTGTCCATCTGTCTGTTGTATATAAATATTTCATGACTATTTCTTTAGAATAGGGTCCTGTCAGAAGCTGGGTTCGGTGGTGTATGCCTGTAATCCCAGTGGCTCGGGAGGCTGAGACAGAATGGTGAGTTCAAAGCCAGCCTCAGCAAAAGCAAGCTGCTAAGCAAATCAGTGAGACCTTGTCCCTAAATAAAAATACAAAATGGGGTTGGAGATGTGGCTCAGTGGTTGAGTGCTCCCTGAGTTCAATCCTTGGTGCCCCTTTCCCACACACACACACACACACACACACACACACACACACACAAATAGGGTCCTAGCATTGGAATTCATAGGTCACATAGTATGCACCTTTGACATTTGATCGAAAGGACCAGATTACTTCATAAACAAAGCAAGTTGTTTTATGTTTGTTGTTGTGTTACTGCRGATTGAACCCAGGGGTGCTTACTCACCAACATCCCTTTTTATTTTTTATTTTGAGACAAGAGCCTTTCTGAGTTGCTTAGGGCTTTGCTGAGTTGCTGAGATTGGCTTTGAATTTATGATCCTTCTACCTCAGCCTCCTTAGTCTCTGGGATTACAGGCATATGCCACTTTGCCTATCTAAAAATTTTTTTTAGTAAGCTTATATTACTGCTAATTGCATAAAAAGTTTTCTTCTACCACATTTTAAGCAAATACTAAATATTGTACTTGTTTTAAACTGTCAGTTGCTTGCTTGAAAAAAAGATGTTATTGTGTTCATTACATTGCCCTGTTACTTGCAAGATTCAGCATATTTACTATTATTAGTAACTTATACTCCTTACACATTGCATGTCACATTTTTCTAACATTAGAAAATTAACTTGTTTTTAATTCATTTGCTAATGTTAATAGATCCTAGGTATTAATCCTTTGTTGTATATATTGGAAATACGCTTTCTT